GAGTTGTTTTCAAATTATTTTCAGTCAGTATTTGAATCTCAAACTGACTCAGGTGGAGTCACTGCATACACCGTTGAAGAGAGCCTTTCCAATGACTCTCAGATCCTTATGCATAATTTATATTTCGATGAAGATGAAATCAGCAAAGAACTGTATTTGCTTGATCCAAATAAAGGTCCTGGTCCAGATCAAATCAGACCAGTTTTTCTCAAGCAAACACATCGGTCATTATGTGTCCCCTTACAGATTATATTCAATAAGTGTATGTCCAGTGGCACTTTTCCTGATTGCTGGAAATTATCTTATATAACGCCTATCTTCAAGGCTGGTGAAAGGAGTGATGTCGAAAATTACCGACCGATTTCAATACTTTCTGCAATCCCTAAGGTCCTGGAAAGATTAGTTCACCGACGCATTTATTCCAGCCTAAGGCATGTTATTATAGACCAACAGCATGGATTCGCAGCTGGTAAATCTACTCTCTCTTACCTCCTTGTTTTTACTAATTATATTTTTAGCGGTTTGGATAATAAAAACCAGATAGACACAATCTACACAGACTTTCAGAAGGCTTTTGATAAGGTTGACCATATGATGCTTTTACAAAAGCTATCTTTTAATGGTATTAAGGGCAATCTTTTAAGATGGTTTGCAGCATATCTACATAATCGTGTTCAATCGGTGGTAATAAATGGGTTTACCTCTTCTCAAACAGTAGTGACATCCGGCGTCCCCCAGGGCTCAGTCCTTGGGCCGTTGCTCTTTTCCTTATTTATTAATGACATATCTAAATGTTTTTTACACTGCAATTATTTGCTGTATGCAGACGATTTAAAGTTATATAAAAAGGTAGTTACACTTTCCGACGAAGGAAGGAAGACCTCGATAGGCTAGATGACTACTGCAAAATAAACAAATTATTCTTAAAATATAGTAAGTGTCAGCATATCGTGTTTACAAGGAAAACTCATAACGCAATCACGGACAACTTCACCCTTGGAAACCATGCCCTTGAACGTGTGTGCTCTGTAAGGGATCTTGGTGTCCTTCTTGACTCCAAATTAATCCTAGATAAGCAGTTACACTCAATTATTAATAAAGCCTACCGAATGTTAGGTTTCATAACGCGTGTCACCAGACCTTTTAAAGACGATACCACGTACATTCACCTCTATAAGACGCTTGTGCAGTCCCAGTTGGAGTACGCCTGTCCAATCTGGAATCCCCATTACTCCATATATGTCGCACAACTGGAGGCTGTACAAAAGAAATTCTTACGTATTCTAAATTATCGTATGAATGGTGGTAGGTCTAAATATAAGGAACTTTAAAAAAAATATAAATTACTTTCTTTGAGTACAAGGCGTAATTTGACAGACTGTGTCACTATTAGAAAAATATGTGTAAATGAAATAACTTGTTCCAATCTTCTCGAACTGATACCATTTAATGTTCCTGCCAGATCTCTGCGCTCGCATAGAACTTTTAACCTTCCGACTCCCAGAACCAACATTGGGTTCCGTGAGCCTCTTCACAGGATGTGTTCTGCCTTGGATTCTGCCACTAACATTGATCCTTTTTCGCACTCCTCTACTGCTTCGTTTAAGAATAGGTTAAAACACTTAATGTCTTAATCTTCCTTGTTTTTTTTTTATATAGCTGCTAGTTTGTTTGTCGTTCTCCTAATTTATAAATTTTGTGCTGTCATGTTTTGTCTTGTTTTATTTAATTATGTTAAAAATACAATACAGTATTTTTTATCAGTGAAACTTTTTGTGGATATGTCCAATGTGTTTATTTTATGTTTTACTTTTATTTTATTTACTTTTATTTTAGACTGTTTAGTTTCCTTAATAAATAAATAAATATTGTATTAAAATACTGTGAGAATAGGAAATAAATAAATAAACTTTTGTGAACCGCCTTCTGTGCCTGACACCCATATTTTTGTAGTTGATACGGTTTCTTTACGAAATTTTACTTCACATGTGTTACGCAAAATCTATTGGTAACTTCAGCAGGAATCTCCCACCTCAATAACGCGAAAATAAAGCAAAATTATCAATACAAGTTGCGCACGCGTCCTCAATCATCGCAAACTCTATTATCTACGGCAAATTTATTTTGACAGCTACAATTTGACAAGGGGTATAATTTAATTTGGCTTAATAATGCGTGCGCTCCTTTTGATTGCACGAATTTGTGTTTATTGAAGCTATAAACTAATTTAGCTGGGAATTTTGGCCCTTGGCAAAGTGGTTTATGGCAAGGGGTTTGAGGTCTTAGAGGACAAAAGAATTTATCGTATTTTTAGTTTCAGTTAATATTTCATTATGTAGCAAATGTAAAGTTTTTGGATTAGGGGATATAATACATGGATGTCTTTTAAAAAAACTTATTATTATTCATTGAATTATAATCTAAAGCTCATAGATACTTCTTAGATAATCGAGTTACATTTAGAAAGCTAGACTTAGCGAGAGCAAAACCCCGTTTTTTTTAATAGATTAGGTGACAAACGGGCAGGAGGCACATCTCAGTTCAGTGATCGCCCATGAACAGTCACACTCCCAGAAACTTCCCAAGTGCGTTGCCAGGAAGCCTTTTTTTATTTCAACCAATACGGGAGTCAGTCCAGTTTTTGACTCAGCCATAAAGTATATTGAGAAAACCTTGCAACCACGATAACAACAACCTTGCCTGGAAAAGATCCCTTAGATAAATCGACCCGTTCCGCTTTGTATTTTTGTTGATTTCTTTGAAATTGATTTCTTTGAATAGTGTAAAATGTGAGTGAGTACTGTAAGATTCTCGAACACTCGAAACGAAACACGTAAACTCAGGTGTAAGCACAAGTTAATCCATAAACGGCGATAAAACGTCAAGCGACCCCAAATCTCCGCTTTTGATCCGTAATTGGCGGCCTCTGATTGGTGGACTAGATATTTATGCGCGCGTTCTTGCTTCTGATTGGTTGTTTGGATCCCACCCCTTTGGATTAGGGTGAGATTCAGGGTGTTTGTGATGACACAGTTTTGATACTATAGATTAAATTAAATGCAGCGTGAATGACATTTATTTATTATCAGCAGTGCAGACTTTTCTCTGTTTGTAATTTAAAAAAAACTACTAGCCCAGACCTCAAACCTTTAGACTTCAAATTATGGTCAGTTTTAGAGGACATGGCCTGCTCTAAACGACACAGCGACTTTAAGTTTCTTAAAAAATCTTTGAAGCAAGCAGTAGCGTACTTTCCTTTGGAAACAGTGCGTAAATCCATACGTTAAACTTTAAAGGCCAAAGGTGGCCATTTCGAATAGAATATTTATTTTTTATTTTTGCTGAGACTAATAAATATGTAGGTATAAATTTTAATAATTTTACATTACTTCATTAAAAAAAAGCATTTTCATTTTTAACAGAACTTATGGCTGGGCTGGCATATTATTATCTTCAAGTTAGTTTTGAAGATTGACATTCGGAAAGTCAATCTGTAATTGTTTGGTATTTGTATCTATTGCTCCACATAAATAGTGCCTAGGCTTCAGGATGCCTGATGGTTACGTTAGGAGGCTGGAGGCGACATCGACTGTAATTGAACCTCTCAAAATTGTGTCCTACACGACAAAATGTATGGAAATAATTAATGAATTGCATAGATAACAGACGTTTTTAATTGTCCGTTGAGCGAACAAAAGGTTTGCTTCATGTCAGTTCTTATACAGTAAGAAATAATCTTTTCTTTATTTTAATCTATTACTGTTTAATGTTACGTTGTTTTTTTCTGTGTATGTGATAAGTGTAAATAGTTGCCATATTGGAGCAATCTGTAATGGTAGCTTATTTTGTTTAAAAAAATCTCTAAAAAATCTGTTAAAATAAAGTACCACACGCAACGATCGCAGTACAGCGATTTTGCATGGATGATCCCAAATGCTTCTACTGAGACTTGTAAAGATGCATACATTTTGATATTTTTTATTGAAATATATAAAATAAAAACGAATAAGTACCGCAAAGTGAGGAAATGGAGCCAGCGTTGAAGATACACTGCCACAGGGACCAAACTTTTTAAATTTGTTTTAATTTTCTTTTTATTCATTTTTAATTAAATACTTGTATTGTATACTTGATTATTATGATTACTAATAAAAATAAAGATAAGAATCATTTGAAATGCAAATAAAAACCATTAAAATATTAATATCCCTGACGTTCACGTTATTTAGAATATCCAATCTTACTCAAATGAATGTATAAAACCTCCTTATATAAAAAAATACTCACAACAACTATTATATATTATAAAGAAAAATAATAATAGAAATATAAATGTATTTGCTTTTATTATTATTATTCGACGTGGTTATAACATTTTACCTTAACTATAAATCAAAAATACGGGTACCTACTACTGAGATACATAATATTATTTATGAGAAATACCTAAGTTTTTTACCCTAATAAGGACTTACTTTATATCAATTTTGGCCATTTTAACAATTTGCAAAGTAGGAACTCTATTATTAGTTTACATATATTACATCACTATTTAAATCATATTACATATTAGGAAACGCTCACATAAATAGACAATTTGCTCTACGAAATCGAACGCAGAACTCGACCTTTTAGTATCGAATTAAAAAAACGTAAAAGTTCTCGTCAACTATGCCACCCCTTAGGGGCGGGACGCGAACACTCATCCCTCCATCCCTATTACAACAGTTTACCGAGGTCCGTAGACGAAATAGCCTCGTTTTGGCACACAACGAGCAAAGCGACAATTATCCACGTTATAATTATCGATTTAACGTTAAATTTATGTTCTTTCAACATTTCGCTTAATCTGTGCAAATTACGCGGGGTTTTTAGCAATTCTAATTTCTTATTTTTTTTAAATCAAATTACTTAAATTTTTAATAACAACATCGACTCAAATATGTGATTTTGAAAAACAATATTATTTATTTAAAAGATTATGTGAATTAAATGAAACAATGAATCAAGAAACGCGCAGTGATTCACCAAGTGAAAAACGTCAAGATTCCAAAACGTCTTTTTTAATTGAGGATATTTTGTATCGCGGTCATAGACAACCATTCAAACAACCAGAACCAAGAAGGTTTGATATTGAACCTAAATATTTTCCATCGCCCGCTGAAGTGAGGCCTCATGTGCCAAGAGACGGTTATTTGCAAGTGGCCATGGGAGCCTTAGGGGCATATTTACACACGCCCAACACTTACAAGGCTGTGGAGACACCGTATTTTTTGTCACAAGGTAAATAGCTTTTTCTGTTATGTTTTCATTACTCACGAAACGAACTTGAATTATACCACCGTTTCTACCAAAATAAACTATAAAACCTTAAAAAAACGAAGTTAATTTATTTATAACCATTAGTTACGTCCAGCCTAGTTATATAATAAAGCATGTTATTTAATACGTGTAATAAAAAAGTATTAAAGATAAGGTATTTCTTATCCAAATAAATACAATTATTTTGTTTAATATATAGCGCGTTTATTATGTGCTCGAGTCATTAACCGTCAAGCTACGGAATTGAAATTTGAAAGCAGTTACTGCGATTCTGTAACTCACTTTAACCCCACCGGGGTTTTCCGCGGGGGGGGCCCCCCACCTCGGGCGGGGGGCCTTTTTTGCGCCCCCCCCCCTATTACATAAAATACCTGTGGCGCTACAACCCTTGGTCTTGGTCAATACGTATTTCAACAATTTCTTTATAGACATGTATAGTCGTGTCAAGCCTTAGTGTAATCTATGTCTATCGTGTTTTAAAAACAGCAACATAAATAATAGGTTTGTTAAAATCTATGAAATAATAGTACAATTTGTTATGCAATATATTTTGTTATTTAAAAAATACATGCAATCGTTTGGATATTAGTCGTAGTTAATAAATTAGGCACCATGGGGGTTATTAATCTGGTGTACAAACATTGGAGAAGAATTGACATTCACGATTATTTGAACCAGAGGGGATTTCCCAACACCACCAGGAACGACGATTGGGTTGTCTTCAATTAAAGCTGGGCTGGTGTCAATTTGTTCATATTCGTGTTCGTCGACTAAAGCTGGGTCGGTGTTGATGTCTTCGGTCTCATCGACTAAGGCTGGGTCGGTGTTGATGTCTTCAGTCTCATCAACTAAAGCTGGGTCGGTGTTGATGTCTTCGGTCTCATCGACTAAGGCTGGGTCGGTATTGATGTCTTCAGTCTCATCGACTAAGGCTGGGTCGGTGTTGATGTCTTCAGTCTCATCGACTAAAGCTGGGTCGGTATTGATGTCTTCAGTCTCATCGACTAAGGCTGGGTCGGTGTTGATGTCTTCAGTCTCATCGACTAAAGCTGGGTCGGTATTGATGTCTTCAGTCTCATCGACTAAGGCTGGGTCGGTGTTGATGTCTTCAGTCTCATCGACTAAAGCTGGGTCGGTATTGATGTCTTCAGTCTCATCGACTAAGGCTGGGTCGGTGTTGATGTCTTCAGTCTCATCGACTAAGGCTGGGTCGGTGTTGATGTCTTCAGTCTCGTCGACTAAGGCTGGGTCGGTATTGATGTCTTCAGTCTCATCGACTAAGGCTGGGTCGGTGTTGATGTCTTCAGTCTCATCGACTAAGGCTGGGTCGGTATTGATGTCTTCAGTCTCATCGACTAAGGCTGGGTCGGTGTTGATGTCTTCAGTCTCATCGACTAAGGCTGGGTCGGTATTGATGTCTTCAGTCTCATCGACTAAGGCTGGGTTAGTGTTGATGTCTTCAGTCTCATCGACTAAGGCTGGGTTAGTGTTGATATCTTCAGTCTCATCGACTAAGGCTGGGTTAGTGTTGATGTCTTCAGTCTCATCGACTAAGGCTGGGTTAGTGTTGATGTTTGAAGATTCATCTTCAATAATAATAGGTCCTGCAGATTCTGCATCTAAAATGCCAAAGGTAGAGGGGCGAGCGGCCGCGACGACAACAAAAGCAGCGATTAGAAGTAGCTTCATCTCTGAAAAATTATGAAATCGTGTTAATCATGTACATAACAGTCTAATAACTGACAGGCCAAACCGAAAGCCCCAGTAGCTGATCGGGATGTTGAATATATACTCAGCGGTCGGAAACACTTCTGTGGCGCGATTATCATCAGGGTCATCGCACTAATTGTAGCCGCAGAAAATGACATTTCCTACTTTTAAAACAATAAGTGTTTGTATTTATTGTTTTATGGAAGCCTTATGAGGGTGGAATTATCCTTAAGGACCCTTATTATCCCCCCATAACTCTCCTTAAACCGGCAATAAATAAATAAATTAAAATAACAATAATAGTACAATTATAACAGTAATAATATAGACAAATCATTTTGGTTCTCGTATGTGTGTTTTTTGTAACGAATGAAGTTTAATGTTTTCTTTATTTTTTATAGCTACTGTCTCTAACCTATCTGTAAATGTATCTAAAAAAATATTTTACAAATAAACCATGTATATAAAGAGTTTGAGATTATATCTTAGGCCTGGAACCATTGATGAATAGAAATTTTTCACGTATTAAATCACAACTGATTAAGTTCAGGACGTTACGAGAAGTTAAATAAATTAAAGAGAAATTAATTATTTAAAAACACATTACAAGTGTGGACAAGACCAAAGATTAATAGTTTTAGTAAGAAACTTATAGGGTACAAGTACATTAAAAATAATCTGTTGACTTTGGACTTTTAGTTTTTATATGAAAATTACTAAATTTGCCAAATAAACTACGTGTAAATTTGAAAAGTGGAGTCTTCTTGAAGCTAGGAGCTTCGTCAAACAGTTGTAATGTAAAAAAAAAACCTTTATAAATTACATACCTGTATCGGTTTAGTAGCTGATTGATACAATATAAATTTTGGTAATTTCATTCGATTATATAGAACTTACTTATCTCAAATTTCTTAAATCTAAATAGCGCAGCATTAACATTTTATTGCAAGGAAAAAGTATCAAAATGATTAGCCAGAGATACGGATATTTTATTACTTATTGGCGGTTATGTATCTATAAAAAGGTCGCTAGGTACATTCCACTACTTCCACCTTACAAATTTACCAACATATTATAAGCCCTTTGTAAAGGTTTTGTTCTTAACGCTATCTTGAAAATATTATGGTATCATGGCAATACCTTTTGGAGCAGTTTATTGTACATTTTTAAAAACTATATCTATTGTGACGTTGAAATTTTCCATATTCCTAATAACCATATTTCTAACGATTTTTTAAAAAAGTAACACTTATTTTATTCCTCCTAGTCGTCCACCCTCCATCCTATCAGCCTGTCAACGTCCACTGCTGGGTATAGGCCTCTCCCTTAAATACCTAGTACAACCAGGTTCCCGCAGACCAGGTCATCTGTCCACAAAGTGGAGGCCGTCCAACGCTCCACCGACTAGATGTAATCAACGTAATTTTTTTTTATAAATCGCTACCCTTGCACTACATAGATATGTACAACCCCAGTCGACTTCCGATGGAGTATAGCACTATTGGGTGGTGCAGCACCGGTTTCACCGTCGAGGCTCCCCAGCCATTACGCCAATACCCTACGTTTGTTCTAGACAGCTAATTAAAGGCAATGTAGTCAAACCGCTAACAGGATCGCCACTTCCCAACCCTTAGCCATAAAGACCTTGCATGCCCTGCAGAATGTAGGTACTTGAATTATGACCATGGAATGACATTCGCGTTTGACCACCTTGTCCTACCACCACCACCACCAGCCCTACCCATGTCTAGACGGCTACCGAAGTAGCAGACAGTTATTATTGAATAATAATTATTAAATACCAAGTGTTCGTGAATAAAATAATAAAGATTGTCTCACGAGATAAAGGCCGTATAAAGCAATTAATTATTTGTATTTAAAATATTATTTTGTGTCAGAAAAATATAATATTACTAGTCATAATAATAATAATTATGGACATTAGTCCATATAGAAACATGGACAGTAGTAACATTATACTTTCTAAAAAAACAGCAGTAAACATTATGTATTTATCAATCACTAGCAAACTCGGCGAACTCCGTTTCGCCACCAGATGGCTTCGTTTTATGTAACATTTCGTTTGGTGGATCCCGCCCCGTTTTCTGTTGAAATTTTCCCCCTGAATTTTCTATAAATTGTATAAAACCGTCGCGAGCCCTTCAAAATTCCAAACCCGGGGGGGGAATCGGTTCGTGCGTTCTGGAGTTATAGCGTCAGAAGGAAAACCGACTTATTTTTATATAGTAGATTTGTATTTAAAGTCATAATTCTGCATTACTAATTAGCCAATAAAATTATAGGCTTGATTAAATTAATAAATCACTCCTGTTTACAAAAAGGAGTAAAATATTACAGGTAAGTATTATCTAGCGCATGATCTGTTCCCTCATGATGACAATTTAAACGTTTTATTGGGAGATAACATAAATTCGTAACTCATATCAGAAGTTTATTGTCAATCGTACCATTTACGGTATTAATAATAAATCAATTAAACTATGGATTAATTGTCGTATCAAGAGATAAAAACCTAGTTTTATAATCGATTTAGTATTTTATAAAAAAAATGGGATCCCTTTAAGATGAAAGAATAATCTTTATTTCTTAATATTACATACATATTACATACAAGACGTGGTCTGCTAACGCTTTTCTCAATCTCCGTTACAGCTTGTCGTTCGTTGGATGTATCTTTTTGTATGTTTGTATGTAATATGAGGCAAACGGGCGGGAGGCTCATCTGATGATACCGCCCATGGACACTGACATTGCCAGAAGGCATATGATCTCACAGATGTGGAAACAAACAAAAAAGAGAGAACATTGAAAGGAAATGGAGGCACTTACCCAAGATGGGATATAATAACAATTATTATCACGATTAAACCTGATTTAAGTCAGTTTATAATACTACTAACTCATAAATAGTGAATCTTGTAAATTTTATAATAAATAAAACACTTAGATACCTTTAATAAAAACTATTTAAAAAATCCTTGCTGTGCGTTTACATAAACATAGAGGTTACATAAACCTAACATTATTTAAGTTATACACGACGACGACATCGTCGACTACTCTTATATTTTTTATAGGTAACAAAAGTGTTAGTTAGATTTAAGCTAAAAGAGTTAGTTTTTTGTTAATCCAGGTCGCAACCCCCCTAATTGTATGTTAGTTATAAGCTCATGTTTTGAAGCCAGTTGACACCCAGCTTCAAACAAAGAGTTTAATTTATCATACAATTGAACATCCCTCCAACAAACGCCACCGAACTTTACTCGTGTAAAGAAAAAAATTTAACGTCTCAGTCAACCCTTCAACTTATAACCGTAAAAAATTCAATGAATTGACCTAATGTCACCATATTTAGCCTTAAAAAAATATCCTGCTTTATCTACAATGCAACGGTTTACCCAGAGTCGCTTATCGTAGTGGTAAGTGCCAAGTGCTCAGAAAAATTCTTGTTTAAGAAAACTAGCAAAAAATATTACCTTAATTTTTTTACAACTAAGACTACCTTTTCTATATCGATGTTTGTAATAATAATAAACTGATAACTGAAAACATTATAGTAATTTTTTGAATATTGCGTCTTGAGAAAAAAGGTGTTCACTAATTATTTTCCTCTCCACAGTCATACTGTACCTATCACCTGTTCTTAGCCTCCTCGGGATGGTTCTTTGGTATTAATCATCCCATCTCTTTTTATCCCTACCTAATTTTGTTGTGCCCACGCTTATAGAGCCAGGAATTAGTTGTTAATAATTCTGTACCTCTAATTACAAATTCGACAAATAGGTTTATAGGTCGCCGTCGGCAATAAAAAACGAGTTTTATGATCAAATTTAATAAAAATAAAACTTATAATCTAATTACAATGTGTCGCAGCACATTACTGCACACGTTTAGTTTTTTAGTTGACATTTTATTAGATTTCTAGGTAACTTAGTTTATTTTCCTCTGTTTTGTGATATTAATGTAAATATGCCTTAGTTAGTTAGCCTGTGTATCATCAGTGCCCCGTCTTGAGACCTTCAAGGAACTTGTAGGCTAATATTATATATTTGTATATTATATTTATATTTAGTATTAGTATTAGTGTATTATTATTCATAACGTATTTTAAGTGTCCCATGGTGTTTGTTACGCCGTTAATATAACTGGGGTTTCCCAACAGCCTTTATAATACTGTAACTATTTGCATAAACATTAGCTCTTGTAACATATTATAAATGTAAGTTAAACCTTTTAAAACTATTGGATATCATTAAAAGTTTTTAGATAAAATAAGTGTAGGTAGGATATTTTGTATTATAATAGATGTATTGGTCATTTGCCCTACACACTTAATGCAACAAGAATATAAAAAAAATATTTCGTTCCTTGTCCTAAAGTTTATTACATTATTTTTCGATTAATTATGCAAACGAATAGAAACCATTTTTGGTATAAAATTTGCTTTTGTGTTAGTTATTGTCGTGATACTTATTTTTTATGCTTTTTAATAAATTTAATACATTCAAAAATACGGCGCGATAAGAGTGGGGGTTTTACGCGAGCGATAAACAACGATGAGGTGTAAATAAACATATTATTTTGAATGGTTTCATCTTCAATAAAAAATAAAAACCATCGATTTTGATAAGTATCGTTCAATCGGTCTCCTAAATACAAAAGTAAATATTTATATCATCTAATTCCGACCTAAAATATCGATATTTTATGCATTAACGTCAAAGCCAAATTTTGTGTTGACCCGAGTAATGTAACCCAACATTAGTTAAGTTACATATTTATACAGGGTGTCCCAAAAGTCGACGTCAAGTCGAAATTTTCTCATAGGTAATGCCACACCAGTTATCAGAAAAATTAAAAAAAAAATAAGTCATGTATTTTTGAAGTTATGGAAATTTTCCTTTTATTCCAGAAAATGTACACCATGTGACAGTTTTTTCATTCCTGTTAGTAGTTAGTGTATTTTAGTTCAAAATTAGAAGCGTAAACAAATGTAAACAATCATCGCACACTTGAAGCCAATATCAGCCCTTTAGTTTTTACCACACTTATAAATTCTATTATAACATTCTCGTTAAGTCATAAGTTTCATTTAGATTTATGAACTCCAAGATAAGCCAAGTTTGTTTTTGTTAACGTCGCAACCTCTCTACCCCTAATTTTGTGTTAGTTATAAGCTCATATTTTAAACCATTAAGAGTTTTATTTAAACGTCTCCATACAAAAACCGCCACCAAACTTAATTCCCCATTTATTAATTAAATTTTAATTTTTGCTACAGGTGTACCCTACCACGCCTTGTTTACTCCGTCGGAGCTGTCATTATCAGCATTGAAGCACTGCCGCCGAAGGAAAGCAAGGACTGTGTTTTCCGATCCACAGTTAACGGGTTAGAACTAAAACTATGTTTGTAATTCTCTGTAACTCGTGTAGGCTCATATCACCAAATTATCAGTATTTTTATTATATTATATACATCTTTGTTTTCGGAGACATTTTTGAACTCGATTCAGTTGCAAGGTAAAATGTGAATGTTTATTATAACAATTCAAATACAGATACCATAAAAAACGTGTGTATACTTCTTTTGATTTTACTTAACAAGATAAAAATCTTTTAAATTTTTTTATCTTCCGCCTTATTCTACGTTTGTAGAAAAAACGACACTGACAATAGAAATAAAATTACTCTCATAATTTTTTTTAAAGAAGTATAACTTCAATTAATTAACTTAAATTACAGATAGTAACGGCTAGCGCTGGTTTAAAAAACTGTGTGACGGAAGAAAAATTACCAACAAACGACCAAAATATTATTTTAACCATACAAAACCAAACAATCATAAAAGTACAGACCTATGGAAACTAAGACATAAATGCATCCGCTTCACTATATTCTAAATTCATTAACAATACCGTCTTCACCATAAGGGCACACGGGGCCCGTGGCCAGGGCCCCCATTCTCAGGGGGCCCCTAAAGACCGACAATTTCGACATAATTTGATCACCTATAATAAATGGTCTTACTTAGTAAAATTTTTTTATTATAATAAGCTTTTTTTACTTTCCAAAAGGGCCCCAAATTCTTGTGTGCCCAATGGCCCCAGCCTAGTTTAAGACGGCTCTAGTTTAAGACAGCTCATTAAGGAATAATTTAATAGAATTTGTATGAATTGTTTATATTTACATAGAATTCGATATTTTTTCTCCACTCTCGTTAGGCCTATGAAATTATGACTTTAAAAATTGAAGTTAAAAAGGTGTTATGTGATTCTTTATACAGGTCTGGAAAAACGTTTTGAGTCCCAACGCTACCTGTCAACACCTGAAAGAGTGGAACTAGCTGGTGCCCTCAACCTTTCTGAGACGCAAGTAAAGACCTGGTTTCAGAATCGAAGGATGAAGCATAAGAAACAGATGAGGAAATTGCAACAAAAAGGTATTTATTGGTAGTTAGGGATATTTTCAAAAATAGAAATACCGGAGCTGTCTATCTTGAAATTATGTTGATATCTGAGTCTTAATATACTAGAGGCTCTGATATACTAAACTTCACATGATACGTATGCAGGACAACATATTCTCAAACACTTTTAACTAAGGTTTACATATTATATAATCAAATTAAAAAGAGTGTTGACATTATTAAGTTTTTTAATATTCATTATTTTATATTTTATCTATATTTAATTCCACAACTTCATGGAACGACATATTATTTAGCTAAAACCAATACAACGCATTTGTAAGTCGCTGGCAGGAAGAAAGGAACAATTATAGCCAAATTATATAAAACAAGTAAGGAAAATAACCGACTTACAACGTACGAGATGGGACAGGATCGTCGTTCAATTATATACAGTTACTTAGCCAGAGTTTCAACATTTTCTTTCCTTTCAAACTCAAACTCAAAATATCTTTATTCATATAAGTAAACAAGTACACTTATGAATTGTCAAAAAATAGTTAAATTAATTGTAAATTTGCATTTACTACCAGTTAGCAAGTCAAGGGCGTAGAGCGGGTAAGAAGAACTGGCAAGAAACTTTCCGCCACTCTTTTTAATCGCCAAGTAGGTATTGTCATACAAATTGTTTGAACTGAGGCAAATCAATCCCAAGAATTAGGATCATTTAAGTATTCGTCGAATTTAATAAAAGTTTTATTGATTAATTTACGTTTAACGAGAGCTTTGAATTTATTTAGCGATAATTCTCTTGGAGTTTGTTGTAAAAACGAATACAATTTCCATATAAGGAGTGGTTTATCTTTTGGAGCCTGGTTGGTCGTACACTCAAATTAGTTCTATTTCGCGTATTATACTGGTGACCATTTGTTTTAAAATCGTTTATATTTTTTTGTACATACAACAAGGCTTCAAGTATGTATTGACCAGATAGTGTCATAATATTTAATTCCTTAAACTTATTCCGTTTACTTTGTTAATTAAATACGATTCTATTAAATCGAAGGTCAAATACATTTAACTTATTAAGGAAGTTATTTAGGAACTATTTCAGCGAAGCAGGCGTTGCTTAGTTTATTAGCGAACGTATATATTGGTTTTTGATACAGTTGTTCTCAAGTATTTGATACTAAACTACGCTATATTAGATTTGGTAGTTATATATAACATAACAATGTTTATTTATTTATTTATTTATTAATACTAATTGATGTCTAGCATAACTCAAAATAATCGTCAAGACTAATTTTCTTATAGTGTAACTGGCTATAAAAGTACCTAATTAGTAATTTATTATTCCTGATATATTTAATCTTAGTAAACAAAAGAATGCATACTACTTACAATTTCCCTTACGTAAAAACATAAAACACAATTAGTTTCCTAAAAATAATATTTAACGAAAACGTTTATTACCTAATTTGTAGGTACCAATATTAATTACTATGATTATCCGATTTTCAATACATTATTGCTAGCTCGAGACGTTTAAGTATTATGAAAAATTCGATCTTAATATCTTCGCATTAAAGTCTAAAACAGATCGTAGCACTTTGTAGATACAAGGCACCTAATTGACTGAAGCCAACCTCAAAGACGAGAAAATTAAATTTGGAATCGCCGCTTTGGCGCCACAACTCAAGACGTTCCTTAACTTAATTACGAAGACAAGATGGCGGACGTCTTGGTTGCTATGACAACTTTCGTCTTGAAATTCATGCTGAGGTATTTTGATACTAAATACAAGGTCTTACAGTTTATTGTCAAACGAGGATCGATATTGTTCAAAGATAGGAAGGGTCTATTGCTATAAGCGATTGTGAAGTATAATATATTATGTCGTGACGTAGGGACTAATCAGTCTTAAATATATTTTATTGCTTTGAATAAGAAAGAAAAACCATCCTTCAGTGGTTCATTATCAACAATTGATCTATAATCTGTCGTCCCTGAAGTTGTTTAAATATACAATTTATTTAGTTGAAGAATGCAGTTTACATGTAATCAAATATTATCTATTGTTTTGAAAGTAACATAAAATTGTATCCTAGGTACTGCTGCGGTGGACTTCACGACTAAACACACAATGAAATGTTCTCAGGTAAACAAAATGTCTTTAATTTAAATTAAATAAATAGTGTACATAAGCGTTAATTTATTGTATCAAGTACTGGGCAATTACTGTCATAGATATATTTTTACATTAATTTGTACGTTTCAATTGTTTTACGGCAGTCGTGGTCTCTGTCTAGTTTTCAGGAAATGTATGGTACCTATTCGTGTACACAAGAATAATATTATTATTATATACTATTTAACACTACCACCCGCCACCTGGGATGGGATCCCAGTCACCCCTTTCCTAAGATAATCATTCTGGTGCGTACAAATGTAAACCAGTTTGTAAAACAGTCCTTAGTTTAGTAATTTTCTTAGATTTCTGTTTTTCTTGATAATATAGTATTTTGGTTTCAATTATTGTTAAGTTACTATTTTGTTATACCATTGGAAGACCGGAGTACCCTGATGTACAGTTATCCCTAGACTTAGCTCAGGGGCTCCAATATCTGCTAAAAATGTAACTTATTATTGAATAAAAAAATTGATTTTTTTTTGAATGTGATATTGTCTGCTGCAAAATTTTCCATATAACTTGAAGGTCTTTAACAAGATGATGAATACTGGCTTGCATGGTGAATAAAAAAAGGCGAGTAAACTAGCTTGAACAAAGCTTGATGGGAAAATCAACCATATCAATCACAAAAGTCAGATCACACTTGCCTATAAATAAAAATGATCTAAGACCAACTGTCGAGATTGCGTAAGAGCAACTAGTATTTTACTGATAAAACCTGCCCCTAATATAAAACCAATAGCAAGTAGGTACAGTCAGCAATTCGGTGCACTTTGAATTTGTCAATATGGGGATGATGATTTATCGATTTTTGGTTTACGTCATTATAAAACCTTTTAACGGCTATAAATATGTAGTAATTAAATATATTATTTACATCTAGTGCTTTTCAGCATAACACTGTGATGAGAAATTACTCGGTGGACACTTTCAGCAACTCCATAGAGACCTTTCGCCGAGTCGTTTAACAACCTTGCATTTTTAATTATTTGCTTTTATTGTTATTTTCTGTATTCCTACATTATGTATTTACATTGTAAGAGTATATCCGCGGAAGATTGGCGGACCCATGCAACTTCTATGATACAAAAAGTCCTCGGGGGTTGTGTGCTTCAAAATTGCTGGCTTGTATTGTAAAGAGGTTTCATGGATCTGGTTCTTATGTTATTTTTACACGTGTATTTCTGACATATTATCATATGTATTTGATTGTCCTCATTGTAAGATGTGGGATGTTTGAAAGCATAAATAAAATAAATAAATGTTGCCATATTAAAGCCATCTATCGCCGCGAAGTTGGTATTTGTAACTGAAGTGACTGAATATACACACACGTGTAATATTATTTGTCTGCTTACTGAGTGTACTTTCTTTCTTTACTTTATTTTCTCAGGCATGTGCTTAATTTTTGCCTTGCCACCTCAAGAATTATTGTGTCCTATATATATTTATATTGTTTTACAGGATGATTCCCGAATATCAACAACTCACACTTCAGACTCCGAATCGGAACACAGTGACAGCGATATTGATATCGTCGGTGAATCGAATTACGCACATCACTACTCTAATACGTAAAGTTGTTGGACGTTAAAAAAAATACTATTTTATTGAATTAAAACGAATTTGAACTAGAAGACAGGATGTCTTACACATGTGTTAAACCTTTAATATTTGCCTCTGTCGCTACTGTCTCTAAACACGCGTTGAACATCGTACATTAAAGTTAAACACAAACATATATTTTTTTTACCTAGCCTATCTTTTTAGTACATAGACACCAACATTTTGCAATGTACCCCATAGAGTTCGCTTTTCCGGAATGAAAGCTGGTTTTTAATTTATTCCGTTAAAATTTTCCCTCATAGCTTTTCACAGATTTCAAGGAATATTTAAAAAATATATTGGAATTGGTCCAGCCATCTTCGAGCTTTGCACTTAGCATAATTTGTGATTCATTTTTATGTAATTGTTAACGATTCTTCTAGTTCAACGTTTTATTGCATTAAAACACTATTTTAAAATGTTAGGGTCAATTGAACTGTACTTACAAATAAAGTTCGTAATTAATTTATAATAAACTAAAGAAATTGCATCAACCATAGAATAAATGAATGAGAATGGAAGTAACGAAGACACTGCAGGCGTGGCACTGGCTACTACTACTTATAATAAACAACAAAATTGTGTGAAATGTTTGTTTGGTTGATGGGTCACAAAGCCGACATGATAGCGAAGTTCTCACACAAAATTCGATATTTCTATTCACTGGGATAAATAATTTTTATGCGAATATGAATATTTTTAAGCATATCGCTTATCGCTTCATCAAGTTACACTCACCCAGCTGGCTCTGCAACCCAAAATGTATTCCGCCAGTCTTAAGCTGCAGGCCCAAGTTATCATGACAACACTATATTTTTATTTTATTTGAATTTTAATTCGTCAGAGTAAAGTAGAATATAGATTTTACTTTGACGGTCATTATAATTCCGACCAAAGTTAGACCTTTGTGAAACGTTATCCCTGTTATTTGGTGATTCTTTTACAATACATTTTATAGTTTTATATTAACCTATCAGTCTTACCTCCCTAAGTCAGCCATTTTAACAAGAGCATTTCTGTCTCTTTTCATTATAGCGTAAATACAATTGGGACAACGATTTGAGAATAGGAGAATACTCTATGATTATGGCAACCCCCAGGATTTCATGTATCCAGACAATTTCAATGGGCGTTAGCGGGTGACGTTTGCAGTTGTTTTTCGTAAGAGCCCAGATATTTGTTTTTAGCTGTATGATAGATTTAAGATTGTATTTAGTAATAAAATCGGTCATTAAATTTAGTCTAATATAATATTGTCTAGTCTTTTAGGATATGTCGTTTAGTAGAGAATTGTGCAATAATTATGTGAATATAAGTATTAATGAAGATTAAATAGTTTAATTTAAAGCTATCAATATTTAATTAATATTTCACAAATAGATTAAACTAATAGAGCAGTTACCCGTTTTATTTGTATATGTTTACGAGCGGTAGCTCAGCCAAGAGTCTGGCAATTACGGGCATATGTGTCAAAAATTTGTATTAAAACCATCCAGACCAATAGGTGCGCTGTAAGCTTTTACTTTGTCAAACTCATATAGTAAAAATCACCAATATTTGGAATCTTGACATCATATTACGTTGCACGTAACAATAGATGCGTATCAATTGGAGATTTAGATACTGGCAATGTTATAAATACCCAAGTTTCGTGTATATACAAATTACATGTTTTAGTAGAAAAATATGTTTTTAATATTCAATAAGATTAATTAAGTTGAATTTGTACATATTAGCGTAGTATGAATGCTCAATAAATGAATAATCATGCGTGTTTTGTTTTATTATACCTAAATCTGATGAATTGTATTAAGCTGATTATTAGCAAATATTATTAAATGGAGAATTTCATCAAAAATCAATTACAACGATATTTCGAAACGAAACTTCTTATTCATCTCACCAAAAAATGGAAAACGCACACACTAAATCTAGGGACACGGCGGCGGCAGTGCGCCCGCCAAATCAGGAAAAAAAAGCGGCACGGCCGCACCATCCTTTTTTCGAAGCAGTTTAGGTCATTACGTAATAACATAAGACGGAAGATCTCTTATGTAGGAACTGAATAAATTGACCGACTTGTCATTACATGGATCTTAAACTTTTTTGTTGCCAGAGTTATGTAACCTAACATTAGTTAAGTTACAATTTACAAATATATGTTTTAGTTAATAATTGGAAGCGTAAAAAAAATGTAAACAATCATCGCACACTTGAACCCAATATAAGTCTTTCAGTTTTTTCCACAATCATAAATTGTAATTTAAAATAATAATTAAAGTAATTTAATTCATATTTTCTCATTTCCTATAATATCCAATAAGGTCGACTACACTTGTATTGAAGTATAACTTAAATTTATGAACCCTTAGATATGCCAAGTTAGTTTTTGTTACCCGCAAGCCCACTCCCCCAAACTATATGTTAGTTATAAGCTCATATTTTAAACGATTAAAGTCAGTTGTTACCCAGGTTTAAACAAACTGTTTCATTTAATATATATGTGAACTTATCCATACAACAACCGCCAACGAACTCGAGACTTGGTTTATTTTACAAGTAAAGTTTTTGATGGCATGTACTTTACGAATAGTATCACTCTGACAAAAATCTTTGTATACAGAAAACGCCTGATAACGTTATCCCTTACAAAATATTGCGTTTGGGTAAATTTCAGTAAAGCTTAAAAAAAGTCACAAAATGCATCACAGTACCAATCAAACATATTATAGTATTACTAAAATTGTAAATATTCGAGTTTGAATGAGAATAGCTTGTACTGCTAATAATATTTATAAAGCTTTTTTCTTTATAGGGAAGTAGGTATCTGCTTTTTTACATTATGTCGATTTTTGGGTCTTAAAAATACAGATTTTTTCGCAATGGGTCGTTTAAACATGTGAGATGTTTAGAGCATAAATTATAAACTATAAAAAAATTCTTTCATGATACGGCATGACTGCTAATACGCACTTTTAATCAAACATCCATTGGCCTCGCAATCTCTAGGCCTTAGACTAACACTGGTTGAAAAGCAACATTAAGTTACTTTTAAAATGTCTAAAACAGTCCCAGAAAATATGTGCCCTAACGAACTTTGTTTTCTCCTTAATATGGTTTTTTACTTAGCCTACCTTTTTAGTAGCCTACATACCAACTTATGGGACATTTTGCTATACTACCCCATAGAGTGTTCGATTTTTCGGAATAAAAACTGAGTTTTCCGTTCCGTTTTCCCCGATATAAAACTTCCTCAGAGTTCAAGGAATAACTTTAAAAAAACGAATTGGTTCAGTCCATTCAAGTTCTGCGCTTATTAATATATTTTTTTATTAGTTCGTATTATATTGATATATTTACTGTTATATAATAACATTTGTCAGCATTCTTTTGTGTAGGTAAGCTCAAAGTAGCTTTTGCAAGTTTCAGGACAATTATTTAGGGTAGGTAATTGAACGAATCAAAACGCTTGTTCGCTTGTTATGAGGCACGTGACGCGAAATTTTATTTAGAAATTTGATAAATTATTACAGAGATGCGGTACTGAGGGTTAAATAAAAGGTCGTTAATTTGTTTTGGAAAGTATAAACGAATTAAGATGTTTATTATGACATCTTGTATACTTATTATTTTCAATCTGCCCAAAATTATTTATTTATCTATGTATTTCTTATAGTAGTTTTAGTAACAATTTTGACGTGACAACGTCTTATAATTCGATGGAGCCGGCTGCACGCACGAAAAAACATGACTCATGCGGCGTTACCTCGCTCTGAGGCGTTCCATTATAAGGCTTGAAGTGGAAACGAGAGCACTCGTTCCGCGCTCTCGCTTGCACACAAAAATTTACATAATTGTATTTATGCGTACAAATAAATGTAACTTGATCAATTCAATTGTGATTTCCATTTACCTCCTTCTCTATATCCATACAAAATATCTATCTAACAAATAAAATTAAAATTTTCTTTTGAAGAATGCAACATCAGTATTTTCTAATGACGTTGTCACGTTCAACTATCGTCAGTAAACCGACTTTACAGACAACCGATTTTTTTTTTAATTATTTTTTTTTACTATATATACTTTTACACACAAATCTTCCAAGAATTCTTTACTTACACTGTCAATTTTAGTCTACTATTATTTTTATTTTTTTGCGCCTGAGGCGCAAACTAACTGGTGTGGTCTCTGGCAGAATGAACAGCGCTGTGGAACACGTCTGCTCCACAGCATAATGCTGAGCCCGGAGTTAGTTACAAACACAACGCACACACATTACACACTTAAAATGTACCTTAATTATTCGTTTTTTCCATAAGTTTTTGTTATTTTTCTTTTTTGATTATTATTATTATGTGTGTTTGTTTCGTTAGTAATAAATGTTGTGTCTGTCTGTTATTGGCATTATTTTTTTGGAAAATGTAGAATTCAATTAAAACTTTTTATTCAATGCACGGCCTCCATAGGTAGGTGCCAAGTAGGCAAAGAAAGATGAAAAAAAAAGTTATGCCTGATTTTAAACGGGTTCCAAACCTAGCCTCTATCCAGAGATCCCTTTTTTCTTATTGGTAATTTGTACTGGAATATAGTACGTAAAAGCTAATTATTATGAGCAAAATTTTCACGGGGGTCCTCGCCTGATTGGCACGAATCAAAAGCGAACAAAACCCTTTATAAGTTATTTTAAATAATAGTTCAGTCTTATTAAAAGCAGTTAATCCGTGTTATAAATGACATACGGTAAAATGGAGATACGTAGTGATCAGTCACCTGTTTCAAAGGATATTCATATTGGATGATGCTATGCAATGGCTCAGTCTAAGAAAAATAAATTAATTTTAATTTTTCTCTTTTTAATTTATAGTGTGTAGTGTAGTGTACTTTTAAACAAGCTGCCTTTATAGTTTGTGACAGTATTTAGACCAAGACTTAGTTTTGAAGACAATAATAAATAACTAAACTGTTCTTAT